CCAAAATGATGTGCAGCCGATCTATTATGGTGATAAGGGGGATTTGGAAGTTAAAAAAGAATCTATTTTTAATTTTGCGGTATAAACACCTGCGGTATAACATTTTCCTTGCATCTGAACAATGTTTGATGAGTTTTTAATTTTTCTAAATTTGGGACGAACAAAAACATTATTTTACGTATAAGGTTAATTGGTGTTATTTATATTTAATTTTATTTGCTCGTGCATAATTAGAAGGAATTTAATCTAAATACAATAGAAGAATCTTTTGGTGTTACCAATGCGCCCAAATAACGCAAAAAACGCAAAAATGCCCTTTTTGCATTTGGATAATGCGGGAAAGAACGAAACAAACGGTTTTGTTGAATTCAAATTATGTAAAAATAGACCCTTAAGCCAAACATCTAGAAAAACGGTTATTTACGAATTTTGACTCATACTAATAACCAATAATGTCGAATTTTTATATGGTTGGAATTTACGCTTATCTTCATCAAATGATGCGTTGATCTACGATTTGTTACATTTTGATGGTTAAGCCAAATCAGGCAACTTTGGCGCCTTAATCAATCTCCTAATTAGCTTGAATTATCACAATTTGCCGGGAAAATCTTTTCTTTCATATATATGATATGTTGTGATAATTGAAACAAACTTATCTCTTCGCGGATCACGAGATTATCTTTAAATCTACATGATGTCCCCACCCCGCCTTGTAACCTCTTTTAGAACAAAGAGAAAATATAATGTGTGGGATGATAAAGATCAAGCGAAAAGGAATTTTAAAGCCCTTAAACCATATAAAGGTCATCGGAGTAAGATGACCGATTGCTGAAATCAGGTTATGTCGTTGTTTACATTAGGATAATGGTCGTACAATAAGCATTCATAATCACATTTTTCGTCCATATGATCGAATTCAATTTGATGTTACTCTACCGTGAGATTAAAGTTAATTGACCCGTTTTTATTATTAATTTTATTTTTAGAATTTTGCCTCTGTATTCATATTCGGAAGAGAAGTTTTTTTTTTTTTCGGCCTCGTTTTAATCTTAACATGTTAAAGCCTTCATTAACAAAAGATATAATAAAATGTTTCAGGCACTGTTGATTATTGTTTAATTAATAAACATAAGAATAGGATTATACAAAAATAAAAAAAAAATGTATAAACAATCTTAATTAACAAACAATTTTTAATTAATAACCGATATTGATTGTTTAAATGATATTATTGTATTTGAAAAGATTCTTTTTATCATATAGGTTGTTTTGAGCGTTCCTGAAATTCTCATACTATTATTATAAAAGGTTAATTGTTTCCTAATATGAACATTTTTCGAGTTTAAATTATTTAAAATCACACTCAATCAAATCAGTTACAAATTACACATAACAAGTTGCGATCACAAATAGAAATATTTAGCCAATTCGTTTTTACCGGATAAACAAAAAAAAAAAAAAAAAAAAAAAAAATAGATGATTTGTAATCAAATTTGCTAATTTTTTTTTTTTTAAAAAAAAAGAACCAATATTGAAAGATTAAACGCGCTTGTTTCCGATTTCCGAATGGCGCAGTCCATCTCTTTTTTTTTTTTTTTTTTTTTGATGAAATACAAATTTCGCAAGACGCGACAATAAAACATTATTTTATTGAAACTTTTCTTTTCGTATAATATATACTCAGCAAATTTGAAAAATGACCGAATAACTTGACTGCCCCATTAAATCGTGAGAAAAAAATTATAAAAATAATAATGACCATGTGGAGTGTCACCACTTTCATAACAGCTCCTAAAACAAATGCTTTGTAACTTTGCAAATATTAATGACCAACCTAGTTAAAAATCTGCACTGAATCAGAGTCATGCTGCTGCAATGCGAAGGTTGTTAAAATAATGTAATGTAATCAATATTCTAAACTCTCGTAACATGAAACGAAATTAACTCGGACATACGATTATTTACAGAGAAAAAAAAATTTTTTTTTTCTTTCAAAGTAAATTTAACACAGCCCGTTGCTGAATCTAAAAATACCGTAATTATAATTTCTTTTTATGTAAATACAATAATTTTTGTGTTGCTATGCTGTTTTGAAGATTTTCATAATTCAAAGATTGTGCGACCATTCAGTTTCTTTTTCTTTTTTTTTTTTGTACAAACCGAAATGTGACAGCTGACGAAAATTCGGGTTTTGACCATTTCATCATAGCAAGCAATTAAACATGGAAAAATAATTCCGTTATCAATTTGATTTGTTCTTTTGACAACGTTTATCATCTAAAAAAGAAAGGAACAAGGGCATAAATTCCACTATTGGTGAAATGTTATTAACTTGTGGAGAGGTTTAAAAAACTTAAATTTTCCCATATCCGATATTACAAACAAAAAGTTTAAATTTAGATTTTAGTTAGGAATCAAGTTCCGATTTTTAAAATAACAAATACTCTTTTTCTCTTTAATATTTAAAAAAAATTTTTCGGCCCTAATTTATTTTAACGTGTGTCAAGGATGTAATTCATATAAAGAGTACCCAATTAGAAGCAAGCTATATTTTGAAGGTGGCGTGTAAGGAATCGGAGAGACTCAAGCCATTCAATGCAGTTCGGAAAAGGAAATAAAGCGCATAACGAATACAGAATATCTGAAAATGTGGCTAGTTTCATGGAAGGTTATAATTTAAAATGAGTATTCGAAAAAAGCAGGATATCAGTAATACTTATTAGGAAGAACGGGGTTGTCCTTGCGCAGATTTTATTATTTGGTCATTAGGCGTGTTCCTTTTTTCTTTTAAAAAAAAAGACTCTAAACGTACCGTGATTTACCTAAAAAAAAAAAAATAGCTTACAGGTGTGATACAACATTATTTATCGCCCGATATTTTTCAACATAAAATAATGTTTGCATCATCATTTTGTAATCAACGCATAACCAATTTTGGCTATTAAGACTTTGATGCGAAAAAATTGATAAATACACCGGATCGTTCACCCTCTTCTTCCATTCTCAGAGCAAAATCGATTTTAGAAGATCAAGTAAAATTCGAAAGCGATTACTTCATAGAACTATAAATAAAAGATGACTTTTCAAACGATATTGAAACGTACTCGTTCTTGCGTTTTTATCGACTCAAGTAATCCAAACATACACAATCGAGTTATTGACGGCTCTCAACCTATGATAACCCTTCCCTTCCCCCCTCATATTGATCCAAATGATTTAGTCGTTAAATCTAGGGATGGTAAAATTCCGGCTCGTGTCCCAAATGCGTTCATAATTTATCGTAAAGTCTATATTGAAACCGCTAGATCTCAGGGGTACATCTTACCAATGACGGTCATCTCTTCGATCGCCTCTCGATCCTGGGAACGAGAGAGCGAAATTGTAAAAGCGGAATATAAAAGATTAGCCAAAGAAGCTTTTGACGTTCGTAATGAAATGTTACCCAAAGCAAATCGTAAAAGGAAGAGGGAGAAATGGAACATCGTCTCTTTTAAGAAATCAGCTGAGCTTCGTAAAAGTCCCGCGCTTAAAGCTCAAAAAAAACCTGTCAGAAAAGCTCCGATACAAACTCCTCAATTCCCTTCTCCAATATCTTCACCGGAACCTCAATTCGATAATCCTAGTCCGGTGATTTCGCAAAATGAAATTATAGGTCCGCAATTTAACCTTGATTTCGTTCAATGTATGTTTCCAAGTCCCGAAATCCCCGAGGGAATGATTATAGACAACCGATCAAGTCCGGATTCTTCGATTATTAGCTCTCCGGAAATAAATGATCATTCTTATTCCGAATCTTATTATCACAATTCAAATGAAATTCAGGAAGAAGGATCATTAAATTTAACAGCCCGTGCCAATAATTATCTTCAAACCGAACATCATTTAATTGATTATGGCGAGGACATTGTCAGTTTCAACGAATTCATAGTTGATCCGGAATATCTAGACATGTCTATCTACTCGGGGAATTATATTGATACTGAACCATCTTCTGGGTTGGGTTTTGATTTTTCTTATTATCTTTAAGGACCGATTTACATTCAATACCTTTTGAAATTAATTACTTGTAAACATGTATGATTATGCCTACGTTTATGCTTAAATTATGATGGTTATTTTTTTTGCATTTATCTTCTATTTGTAAGATAAGATTTTATACATGAATTGAATTATGATATGTTTTTTTTTAAGATATGAAATTTATGAAAAGTTGACATGAATCAAAAGCAAACACGGACAAAGGATTTCGAATAATTATATATTTTTTTTTTTCGCCTAAAAGTTCGTTATATCGAATAACGTAACTTTTCGATATTTAAGCCCTCTTAGATTATATATGTATATTATAATATTTACTGTAGATTAGATTATTAACTGTAATTTTAAAGTTTTTCCTGTAAGTTTTCTTTTTTTTTTTTTTTTGTTAGAAATTAAAATATACAGAACCAAAAATAAAAACATTTTCTCTTTCGTGTAAACTTGTGTTTTCTATATACGAAATTTGTTTTTCTTTTTCTTTATTTTACTCGTTTCCCTGTAAATTTTCGTTTCGAGATATCACATGATGACATTGATGAAATATATATTATGATTTGTCGATATGAATATCAGAAAGTTTTTTTTTTTTAAAAAAAAAAAAAAAAAAAACTTTAAACGTAAGCCATGTATGTAAGCCCACGTAAGCCATGACCCTTTAAAAATTCATTAATAAAGAATTTGTAACAAACACAGTCGGAATTTCGGAATTTCGGCGACACAAGAAATGGAACCTATCCGACAATGGATGGTTTTGTGACACATTCGTGATGGCAGAGAATTGGTATTTTAATGAATGCGTGCGTTGGGATTTTCACGCCTTTATGTTCACAAATACATACACCGCGATAAAATAATAATAATAATAATAATAATAATAAAGGTAAAAATAAAAATACAAATATCGTAACTCATGGTGTGTAGTCACGTGGCTCTCATGGAAAATTTCATAATCCTCACTTCTAGAGTTTGGACATTTCAGCAAACCCATGAGACATCCTGCCCTTTGATCCTTTGCTCTTTTTAAACATTTTATGAAGCGACCTGTTTTTCTTGGCGAAAATTCCATAACCTTGCTTGGCGAATATTTCAGAATCCGACTTACGTTCATTATCTGCAATCTGTAAATAGCTTCGCATGTTGGAAAATTGAAAGAATGGACCTTCACCACATTCCATGACTTTGGTTGACACGTCTTTTTTTTTTTGAAAAAATGTCATTTCCAACGTTTGGTTTGCACACCCCAACTTCTGATTCACAGATGCATATAATAGCCGAAGCGCAACATTGTAAACCTTATGATTCTTAAAGGTGATCTTCCACCTATTCCTTACGTATTCCGTTTGTAGAAACATTGTAACAAAAATGAACACGAAATTGAGAATTCAAACGTTACGAATCACGAATCTTGTCACGTGATCAACAAAGCATTGCGGATTAAGCAAGCATTTTTTTTAATTTAAACAAAACAAATCTTAAGTAAATATGATATCATCATCCGTTGGAAAACTCGGAGAATGTAACGCATTTATATTCACAGAGAAACTCACGAAAAAAAAATAAAAATAAAAATAATTACGCCTTTTTTTAAATGTTTTGATTTGGCAGGCACACGAATAAGGAAAACCATAAACGATTGGTGGCATGGAATTTTCTTTGGACGATTAGAAAGGATAAACATTTAAACAACACGTTCGCGCCAAGTTTATCCAAGAACATAATAAAAATAAAAAAAAAAAAAATAATGATAAAAATGATGCATATATGGCGTGGTTCAAATAAATCATTTGATAGGTTACATGTACAATTAAGTTACTCCCAAAAGGAAATGTCACCAACACAAAATTTAAAACGCCATAATCCTCTAATAAATAGTGTTGAAAGTGATGTCGTGATTATAGACAGGTACGACCAAAAAAAAAACAGGTTCCTTAACTCTATAGTCAATTCACATCCAAACGTTAACCGCGCCCACTTAGCACTGACACGTGTGACGGTAATCGCTAAGTTTGAGCAAGACAGAGAATCTCAAAGTAATACTCGATTTTTAACGGCCCTTGGCCGAATGGGAAGTGAACATTGTGATAAAGGTGGATTACCATTACAAATTTAAGTTTACATCCTTTATCGGAAAAACTAAAATTATGGGTCAGCATGAGTAAATTACCGAAAAGGTTACATGGTATCACCCAAGGAAAAAATTTACGAAAAAGAAAATAAATTCTCTTTGGGTCAAAACACTACGTAATTCACGTTACAACAAAACAAACATATAATTGCCTTGTAATAAATATGGATTTGAATCGTAACGAGAGAGAGTCTATAAAGAAATGACTTTCCAAACAAAGACTCTAACAAGTTAAACAAACCATTCACGAGACGAGAACAAAATAATTTTCGATCCTGTTTCATGTAAAGTCATTCCCACGTTTAATAATAAATAATGATTGTTTCATACATTCTTTCTTAAACAAGTTCAATAATAAGTTAGATTTGTTTATACACAGAATAAATTAAAATACCAAGATTTTTTTTTTTTACTCTATAGCAAATTTTACACAACGTTGTATGTTAATCCAAATTTGGAAAAAATTTATTATTGAGTATGGTGTATAGTTTTTTAGGAAAAAATGCAATTTGATTATCATTTCCTGTACGACATGTTATACTTGGAAACGTCAGGGGGAGATAAATGAGGCACAAGTGCAAAAAAAAAATTCTAGGATATAAAAACGCGATTTTTATTCTGAAAAAAATTTTCAAGATAAATTCAAAAAAAAACCAAAAAAAAAAAAAAAAAAAAAAAAAATGTTATGATTAAAAAAAAAAAAAAAACATTTCGATTATTCGAAATATATGTTGATTGAAAGATTGTCTCTTAAGCATATGTGTAAAAAAAACTTACATGTTTACAATTAAGATTCTTTTCTCCTTTTTTTTTTAATTTCGAAGAAAAGAAAACAAATTAATTTCCCTAAGAAAAAAATTTTAATAATTATAAATCAAAATTCATCCCAGAAGACGGTAAAGTTAAATTCAGACCTTAATTCGTTGAAAATCCCTACATGATCTTTGGTCAAGCATCCAGATCTTTATGAAGCTTTGCAAGAACAAGAACTTGACGATGTGATCTTTTTCTTTTTATTGGGAAACCACCCTTGCTCGAAACGCGTTTGCCTAATGGAGCGAAAAATCGAAGAGTATAAGGTATATTACGAACAACGGTAATTTTTTTCTTCTTTCTTTTTTCTCAAATAATAATAATAATATTAATCCATCCCTTTACAATTTCTTAGAAAGACCAATTTCATACCAATCTTTTCTTAAGTTGTTCAATCCTTGAGCTATTTATGTATATCTTTGTATTTAAATTCTTTAAAATTATTGTTTTTGACATTTTATTGTAGTCATGTGTAAATAGCTTCCGTATAAAATATCAAAAATTCGAACTCTCATCTTCTCATCGTCGATGCGTTGTTCGATTGATAACCGGAACGGATGCTCGACATATTTAATAAAAAAAGCTTATTCGTTGTTTCTCGCATGACTTGTACGTAATATACATAAATTAAATGATATTCTCACTGTATATATTAGACAATCAGCACAACCAAACCGAGCGCATCTATTTATGGAAGGACACATGATATTAAATAATTACGTATTTTAATCTGATAAATAATAAATAAATGAACATTTTTGTTCATAAATATTGTTGGCGATAAGATTGTTTAGTTTTATTGATAATGGTGTGTAACATGTGTTAAAAAATCACCCACAAATCCACTTCCTTGACCTTTATCACTAATCACTAATCACCGTGCAATTTTTCCAACCAAAACCAATTTTACAAATTAGGAGTGTTCACCAGATGCACGTGATCCTTTATTACTCAAAACATAAATAAGATCGACTAACAACAAATTTGCCTAGACCAGATCTTCTCCAAATAATTTTTGCAGATAACAATCATATCTTGAGATATGGACTAATTGAAAATTTAATATTTACTATATACATACAAGTAATTACTGAATTGGAGTGATCTTACCTAACAAAATCAAATTGACATATATGTCGAATATCAGATTCCCTTATAAACGTTTTTTTTTTCACCGTTTGACCGTTTTCATTGTCGAACTATTTTTAGTGATATGAGAAATCATCCAGTGGGGTCTGCATATTTCACATGATTTGTGCTAAGCCCTATTTAAATTTAAAGAAATATCATATTATTACAATAAAAGTTAGTATGATCGAAATGAAAATGGTCATCAACTATGATCTTATTCTATAGTAACATAACATGAAAAATATATCTGCACACATGGGAAAAAAAAACAAAATTTTTTTTTAAAAATGAAATGATCATTGTTTATGCATGATAAACCTGAAAAACATTACAGATATACTTATTATGATTAAAATTCTTTCTGCTGCAGTTATTTAATGAAACAATAATAAAAGATTTTTTTTTAATAAATAAATTAATCATAAATTCTTTTTTCGATGGTAATTATTCTGCACGTACTTACCTAAATGTTTTTCTTTTCGCATGGAATTTAAATTCATGTTTAAATTTAAGGTTGCATTGATTTTTTTTACGGTTTGATTATCTTATGTACTGTATGCATGAAATGCCCACCGATATTAAGAATCTAAATTGTAGTTCTGGCCGAATTATTGAAATCGACTGAAAAATATCTTTGAATGATAAAAAATCGAATCTAATCAAGTTCTTAACACCTACGATAAAAAAAAAAATGCACAAAACCTTTTTTGTCCGAGGTAGTGCTTTGTGTTGATCTTTACGAACCCGTTCCGTATCAGAGAGATAACATAAGTCGTCGCACGTGATTCAAAGATTTGGCCAAAATTAGTTTCTTTGATAGAAAGAAAGTCTATTAAAATAAATTAAATAATTTAAAATATCAGTCAGTTTGCTTTTCGCGTGATGTAAATTCTTTTGCTGACATTTGTGCTCGGAACAAACTAGTGAATTAGGGCAATTCATAAATGAGCTTAAATTCTATTCTTGAAAATCATACGATATCGGGACCATGAATTCACGAAAACTTTACTCAGGTTTATCAGACGATAAAAACGAAAATAATCTGGACAATTTTTCTTTTTTACATAATACGCCTATTATTTGTGCATTTTTATTAAAATTATATAGTTTTTTACAATGAATGAAAAATAAATTCCCTAAATGTCTTAAACTTATTCTTTTTTTATTATTATTCGAGTTCAAAATGTATAAAACGAAACAAATAAATCAATAATGAAAATAAAATGAAAAAATATTTATATATACAAGTAAAATACAACAAAAGAAAAAAATAATTAATTTACAAATTACGTTCCAAGAAATCTTTTTTCTCCTCCTCCAAATAAGATAATTGTTCATAAAACTTCATGAGCAACAAGAAGTGATTATTAATTTAATTGCAATATATTAGGTCCGATATTTCGGTTATTTCGCTGTCGTTAAATAAAGAAACGTTTTCATCCTTGGAAGGTTGTCCGATATATGGAAAATAATCCATTAAACTGTCTGCTCTTGAAAGATCATCTTCAATGAAATATGTTATATACGGTTCGTTGCAAGTTTGATTAGTCTGTTGTAAATAACACCAGTCAAGGTTCGATTCAGAATCGTTGATATTTGTTAAAGAGTTATCTGACAATGGTGGACTGAGTGGCAACTGTAATTTCATCTCATTTTTGATTTGTTTTTTTTTTTGCTTCTTGAGGTTTTTTTTACAAGGTTGAACTTGCACATCTCCAAACTTTTTTTTGTGCATTTTATTTGCATCCTGCGCGAGATTCTTGTACGCTAGTTTTACGTGCTTTGGTTCCCTTCTCCAACTGGATGCGATGATTCCCGATACTTCGGTCATCGAATAATTACGTCCAAAATTCTTTAGCTCGCGTACGTACGCTTGACGATATACGAAAAAGCAATTTGGCGCCTTCGACTTTACTACCTTGTTCTTATTCGGGCAAGTCGATAATTCTTCAGGAGTAATTGTAGGTGGGAATGGTAAAGTGATGGTTGGGTAATCCTGTATTTTCCTTCTATAAAGTGAAGGTGGAACCCTCGTCGTTCCCGGTCGACCTGGGTTCGTTTCAGGTACGAAAATGAATTCAGACATAACTGATAATAACGTGAAAAATAAAAATTTTTTTTTTTATATATTATATTTCGTTAACTTAAGGATGTTGTTTGGTTTATTTTTTTTTTTGGTTTTTTTTTTTTTTTTCTTATTTTTTTTTTTAAATTTAAATTTTTTTTTTTTTCTGAAAAAAATTTCTTTGCCCTTTTGTAAGATTTTTAATGTGGGATTTTTATATAAAATTTTCGTTTTTGTAAATTACAACAATAGTTTACGTTATACGAGTTAAATTTATGGCAAAATAATAAAATATGTATACAGTATATATATTATTTAATTCGAAATTAGCAATCACACAATCGAGCAGACTATTCCAAGGAAGGCGGTGTCACCCGTTAAATCATATTTTTTTTTCTGTTATTGAATTGAAGGCAATTTTTTTATTTTATCTTATCTTATTTTGAAACAAAGAATTCCTATTGAATTTTAAATTTTTTTTTTTTTTTATTTATACAACAGAGGATTATACACGGAGGCAATATTAGTAAAAATGAAAAAAAAAAAAAAATTTTGTTGTACTGTATATCTCATGTTCATGAAAATCATTATTTGAGTAAGGATTTTCTCAGATTTAAATAAAAACACAAGATGAATAACATCTATAACATCTATAGTTTATTCGATAGAAAACAATATTTTCCCTTAATTATTTAGGAAAAATAATCGCGTGAGCAAACAAAAACAAACAGCGCGCGTCACTTTCTCATTTCTTTTCAAAAAAAAAAAAAGAAAAGAAAAGAAAGAGAATAAATGCGTTTTCAAAGATTGACGGAGACAAAGTAGAAAGGGAAATGTGCGTTTCGGCGTTAAAATCCTTGAATTCAGGTGTTTTACTTTTAAATGAAAGAAAAAAAGTCCCTAAAGGATCACAAGAGATTTTTTGGGGGAAAAAATTAATGTATACAAAATTATTGCGCTGCAGAAAGATGTTCGGTAGTTCGAGTCCGTTAAGATGGTTGGTTACAAAAGGACTTCAAAGTTTCTATAATCGACATGGAACAATGTTCAATGTCACATTAAAATACTTTAAATGATAAATATAATAATCATCAGTATGATAAAAATGTTTTGGTGAAATAAGTTAATTCGGCATTGAAGGGTCTGTTTGTTAATTACAGTGAAGAACTTTGACGTTACACGTCGGGAAATATTTTCCGCAGGACTACGTGACTTCTATATAATCAATTAGGTAATGATTGAACAAGCAACATTCGATAAAAAAGCAATTTTTGTCTAATATGTCACGATTCAGGTCAGATCGAAAGAGCTTGTAATACGTTAAATACGTTGGCGTAAAATAATTTCCAAATGTTGTCAAATATTAGGGGAGTTCTCGTTCCGACAACGTTAATAGCTGTTTATAGGTCCATCGAAAAAAAAAATATATATATACTGTATATAATATATATATATAATATACTACTCATGCATCAAAAAAAAAAAATTAAAGAAAGCTTGAATTATAAAAGATACAATGTACAATTTATATATTCTTATTATCATTTACGGGTGGTAGCACATCAATAAATATTAATTTAAATTTTCCCTAAAGTAATGTTTGTGATCCAAATTAAATTTTTTGAATAATTACCGCATCGGATAAATCCAAAAATGATCCTTCTTACCCCTCGGATGGGATGGTTCCCAAGTCGTAACCTATTTAAAGACCAATCAGGTCACTTTGAAACCCCAAAACAAATGCAATCGATAATAAATTTGTAAATTTGTCATATATGCTGTTTTATAAAGGGATTACAAAATTTTAAAAGGATTTGGCACAACAATGCGCACACTTAACTTTTGTTTAACTTCTCCAATGTTAATATTACGCAAAAGATTTCATTCTTTCCTGATTAAAGATTTATTATAAAAAATAATTAGATGCATCAAGGTTTGTAACATACTTACTAGTTTTTTCGAAGCTTGAAAAAGAATTCTAAAAAGGAGGATACTAAATATGGAAAACTTCGATTCCACAGGTGTTAATTTGTAAAGCTTTAAATTCGCACACACAAAAGGTTTTCAGAGATTATCTTTTCCCGTAAAGTTTTCGATTTATTTATAGTAATGTCGTAAATAATTCCATTTTCGCGATAAATCGAATTTTTTTTTTTTACTTTAAAAAAAAAAAAAAAATCAATAAAAAAAGATCATTGCCCATTTCCTTTGTATTTAAAAAATCTCGGCTAAACAAACTCATGCAATTGATCATCGCTAATTATGTCATGTCACATGATTTTCGGAATCGAGATTTCTTTGCGTAAAAAAAATACAGGAAGAAAGCATCCACAAATTTTATGTTCATAAGAAATAAAGATGATATTTATTACACCAAGAAATGAAAATTCGTCCGCTCCCTTTTTTTTTTTCCATCAGATACCAGGTTTTCTGTACCATGAATAGAATCCGATTGCCATGCACGTGTTTTTCTGCATCAATCTGCGCGGATTCTATCTAGGCCCAATTTAGAAATTCATCAAAGGTAGTCAAACATTTTTGTTTCACCAAAATGTAAACTAGTGGGTCACACCAAATATAAAAAAAAAAAAAAATACAAAGACATGGAGCTAAAAATCGGAATCAAACTTGCGATGGAATGCATGCTAACCTCATTGTAATTTATACCGTGATGGAAGTCTTAAAAATAAAAAAAAAAGAATTATCATGTTAATTCTTTTATTCGTCCAATGTATAATGTTCCCATGTACCTGCACGAAGCGTTGAAAGGGTTATTGTTGTTTTTTGTAAGGATAATAGGACAGATGCATTATCAGCCTGCCGTAATTAGATTTTCAATACCAATGCTGCGGTCGAACCTTTTATCCTTGGATTTTTTCGGATTTGCATGATGCTCACTCTACGTGTTCGAACCTAGTGCTTTTTTTTCCTAGTGGCACACAATCACACAATCTTACGTGTAAAACTTATTTACAGTATATTAGCATAAATAAAAAAAAAATGTTATTTGTTACCATGTTGATGAATGAATGAATTGATTGGTTGAACATGATATTATTTACTTACCCTGTTACTTTGTGAAAAAAAAGTTGGATTCAACAGGAAATGAACTAATTTGTTAATCTCTTACGATAAAGGTTTAAGCATTGGCTTAAACAAGCCACATAAAAACCTTTCTTTCATCAAATATTTTTATACATAACAATTCTTTCTCTCACTGCTTCACACGGAAAATAAAAGAAAATAAAAAGGATAGAAGAAATCAACCTTAATCACCTTTTTTTTTCCGAATCCGTACCTTTTTCATCTCCCTACTCATCTCAATAAAAAGTTGATTAGATATTCCTGATAATGCGCATCATTATTTATTTGTAATAGATTACCGTTGAAGTTTTATTTATTGTAGCGCGCGTTGAGCGGTATTATGTATTAAAAGGTAAATATTATGAGAACGATTAGCCTGTTTCAATCGCGCGTGAAATTAAATAAGTTTCCATTCAATTATTCATTCATTCATTCATTCAATCAATAGTTCAATTGCATTTCATTTTAACCCTTGTTGTAAATTTGTAAATATTCCTACAATAATATTTATATTTATTTATACGCGATTTTCATATATATATATATAATATATTAAAAAAAAAATGTTGTGTAAACGTAAACATGAGAATAATATATCACAGTATTCAACTAGAACCATTCGCGTTTAAAACTTTAAATCTCGTGTTCAAAAAAAAAAATTTTTTTTTTCACAATACGTAAAATAATTCTCATTCAATTCAATCTGTAACTATCTAGCACAAAGCTTTATCGCGAAAGATTTCGCTTCATCATTTCTTTTTTAGATTAATTATTAATTTTTTTTTATTTATTGATAAAGAATATTCTACTGTTCAATTGTTTCAAATAATTTATTTATACATAAAAGGGTTTATTAAATCATCATTATATTTATCTTAAAAAGTCTTAAGGCTTACTCTTATTTAGCATATTCGTCAACTTGAAGCTTAAAAAAAAAAAAATTTCTAAAAATAAAACATTCCTTTTTTGACATCTTTACATATAGAATTGATTGGTTTACATATGGTACATAATTACAGCCATAGAAGAAAAAAAGAAGAAAAAAGGTTCTTAGAATCTTACAATATGATCTCACAAATAATACGAATAATCAAAATCCATCACACGACCAGATTCAACAGCCATTGTATTTGCAGCATTGTATGCATACATTTCTAACACATCAGGCGAACATGTAACCTTTTCAGAATCAATAACTGACGGGACCGAATCGGAATATGATTGATAATTCATTTGATAATAATTTTCACCGTAAAAGTCAGTGAATTCCTCTTGGCTAAAGATGGGTGGTAATACAACGGTATTTTCAAGTGATTCTGGAGGCGATTCAATGTCGGTTTCATATGGAAAATCGATACTTGAAAGGTATGATGATAATTGATTGTTAAAATTTATTGAATTAATTGAATTAATTATCTCTTCTTCAATAGACGAATTTTCGGGAGAAGGGATGTCGGGCGTCATGTATTGAGTATAATCAAAATTAAATTGTGAGAGAACTGGATTGAAGCCAGTGGATTGAGATTCGGGTGATGAGATGAGCAATGGAGGCTGATTCACTTCTAGGTCTACTTCATTAATTTCTTTGGTGGGTTTTTGAGTTAAAGGTGAGGGTCTCTTTCGACTTTGTTCTTTAAAAGAAATGATATTCCATTTCTCCCTCTTTTTCTTACGTTGATATTTAGGCAACATTTCATTGCGAACCTCATAGGCTTCCTTAGCGAGTCGTTTATATTCAGTTTTTACAATCTCACTTTCTTGTTCCCATGATTGGGAAGCCATTGGAGAAATCACCGTCATTGGAAGATTGTACCCTTCATTCTTAGCAGCCACAATGAATGCCTTTCGGTAAATAATAAAGGCGTTCGGAACACGAGATGGGACCCTCCCATCTTTGGTTTTTACCACGAGATCACGTGGATCGATGACGGGTGGAAATGGGATTTTGATGATTGGTCGAGAGTTTATGTTGACTTGATACTTTGAAGGGTTGTTCGAATTAATAAAAACGCATTTTCTGTTTTGAGATGACATTGTTTGCGTTTTAAGGTAAATCCCTTACTTTAAAATTGCTGTTTGATCTTTTAATGTTTGTTTGGCTGAATCTTGGAAAAGAGCTTGCATTCTGGAGTATTTATCAATTTCTTTTCGCCTTAGTTGCCCATAATTAATAAGCAAACTGCGCAAGGAAAAACCATATTTGGAAATTCTTTGGGTTGGATTGAATGTTCAAATTGAGAAATCTGTAAGTTATTTTTAACAAAGTGGGCGAATGTAATATGACATCTTTCACTTTTACCCCGGCATTGTACTTATTTGTCATATCCATCAGCCACTGCAGCCACGAGGGCACAACAATCTCACAATTTCCTAAATATAGAGCATCTCGGTGTGATTACGTAGTATTCATTATGACGCGAAAATCATTAAAAAACAATTAATAATCAAAATGTTCTTTGCGCACCTTCCTTCGACGTATTCAACGAGATCTTCCTAATTTGGAAATCGACTATTTTGGAATCAACTTCTTAATTCCCTCTCGGAAAAAAAAAATCAGGGTAAGAAAAATAAATAAGAAATTGTTCAGATGCTAACAAAAAAAAAAAAAATAATAATAATTAGTTACCGCAATACTTCTTAATTCATATAATTTCATATTTGATTTTTTTTTTGAATAATCATATCCACCCACAAAAAGTAATGCATGATTGTTGATCGTTTCTAATCATTGTTTGGATTAATGTCATGCTTGGGAAAATTATTCACGTATCTAATCTTCATTCATGGTGAATTCAATTTGTTTATTTGGATGTTTGTAAATTCCATATTTGTCGTCTTTTTCAATAGGAAATCTTTCAAAACATTGAATTTATAATGCTATGTAGCACTGCAGGCGAGTTTGTACGTGACACATCATGGGATCAATGTGATCAAGGTGTAAAACGCAAAATTAAATAAATGTGCCACCCTTTTGTGATCAATGTTATATCGATCGAAAAATCTCAAAACAACTTTTTAATGAGTAATTTAGTGGCATCGACAAATCCGTCAGGATTTCAATGGTCGTTACAGTTACAATTGTCAAATTTCAAACATTCGTGTGCAACCGTTCAAAATTACATCGATGTTTTGAGTCTTGTGCTTTTTATATTTCGTATAATCTTTGCTAAAATCGCCAAAATAATTTTATTTAAAAATTGACATTTAATGTTATATGTTATGTGCCCGAATATAATCACGCGCTCTGTTTAATAGAGTATGGCATGATCCGGATGATCCGGGTTTGTCCGAATCACAACTTTGGTCAAAGCTGAGCACGTGACTGTTCGTCGTTAACAGGTGATGTTGGCGATACTAGATCTCCGTAGGATATTTTCTGATTATAATTTTGAATTCGTCGGACGTTTAATTTTCCATAATCATTTAAGAGAAGGTAAGTGGTTTTTTCTTACTGTATATATGTAGCTTGACGATCTTTTTAGTCTTTTTGTAAAGTATTTTAAAATTGATACCAATATTTATGGAATAATGAATTTAGTTTTCTGATCCAAATTTTTCTTGAGATTTGGTTTACTATAAGTTAGATTAGGACTTTTTTCCCTCGTGTATTCGTTATTAATAACGTATTAATATTTGTAATGACATTATGAAAGAAATTTTCATTTAGAATAATGTTTAAAGAGGAATTGGGTAAAGAAAGATCATAAAGGATTGAATTAATTAATTTAAGGCGGTTTATTCAATTTATTTTCTAAAACAAGGAAGGGAATTATATCTGTAAAAATAATAAATAATTAATGTCGGGCGAAACCTTCAATTTGATGGATTTTTCTATTAATAAAATTTTTGTTGTATTGACGTTATGGTAGCGATAAACTTTGACATTTTGACATACCGACTATCGGTATTCCAACTTTCGACGCGATTTACTACGATTTTAACAACTTGAAAGTCACGGGATAGACGATCATTTTTGGTAGAAAGTTAATATTCGAATCGAATATCGAAAGAGCCATTTCTTCGAAAAAACCACTTGGGAGAAGGATTTTAGGAAAGGACATTCCTAAAAAAAAAAGAACATTGATTAAAATTAAAATTAATATCTAAAGTTCATAGAAAAAAACAGAAAACTCTGAAAGAAGCCTACCCGAATCTTCCCTAATAAAAAAAAAAAATGTACGTATATACTGTATCAATTGCAAGATGATAACGCTAGAAAATTGTCTTTTCATTTTAGTTTGTCAATATGTCTCCTGTAGGGATGGAGGCGGTCCAAAAAGAGCGACTCATATTCGTTCTGGAACCGATTATAAAATTCAGCATATCATATAACAAGTCAAAAAATTTTTAAATTAATCGTCACACTATTAGAATAAATTTAACTTAACGCTCAAACGTCGAATTAGAACCGAAATGTCAGAAATTATTTCGACAGTTTCGGATTCGATAATAACTTTGCGAATTTTAATGGTTTTAACAGGTTTATTATATAAGAATCGTAGAATATAAAAAAAGACTTTTTTTTTTTTACTTTTTATTTTAAATTAGAACAAAGTTTCCAAAAATAATAAATTATTTATTGAACAGGTTTTAAATTTGGAAGCACTGGAACTTGTTGAAGAATTAGAAGAATTACCTTATGATGATTTTCAAATGAAAAATTAATGGATGAAGAAGATGGGATACCGTCATGAGTTTAAATAAGAAAATATTAATTGGGAGATAAATGATGTAATTGATTTGATGAAGAATAAATTAATTTAATTTCAATATGTAAATTATTTTGATTTTTTTTTTTATCTTTTATAAAATTGATATTATAAATAAATTAAAGAAAATGACCTTTGGTATATACGATTCGCTTATCTCGTAAAACAAACATAATAAATTTTTTAAAATTAAAAAAATGTATTTTAATGTCCGAAGGTTTCAATGGTTTTGTCATTCGTTAAAACTTTTGACCCCATCGAAACTTTGCCATCCGTCGAAACTTTCGCAATTTTGCCTTTAATAAAAAAATTGGGATATCAATCTGTCGAAACCCCCGGCATCCTTACCTCTGACCAAATTGTCCTTACAAATAATTAATATTGTATATACGATGGTTTTCTTAAGGAATTAGACAGTTCATCCAGGATCATTCTTTTGATTTACATAACAATTATTTGTATTTACTTCTCTAATATATTCTTTTTTTCTAGTTTAATTAATTAGCATTTAGTGATTTATATCAATTTATTTAATAAGCGGACATTTCAGAAGTGTAGAGCGCCCAACTTTGTTGATTAATTGATTTAATTAAATATTTTTTAATATAAAACCCTTACCTTTGTTTATAAATATAAACTAAAGAACTGAGCGCTACAATATTCAAAATGATTTTTGAAATTTGAAAACATTTCGACACTTTATTTGTTTATAATAGAATATTCGAAAATGATTTTCGACGTATCGTTAATCTTTTTTTTTTTTTTAGGAAATAGAAATCATTAGCGTTAGTTGTCCATCTTCTCCTTTTCTCTTTGTCTTCAAGTAGTTTCTTTTCTTTTCCTTTTTATTTTTATAATTTTAGTTTATTATTTTTTTTATTACTCTTTTTTAGGAACGTTCTTTCACCATTCGGTCATAATGCAGAGGATTCTTTCGAAGGAAGGATTTTTTTTCGATACGATATTTGTAATATTATAAACTTAGATTCGAATAAATGAATTTTCAATATCCCGTTTGTTGGTATTATAAAATGTGAAGGAAGACTTTTCGGATATATCGATTGTCCCATAGCGTGTGAATGGTACCTTAGTTAATTATTATTTTCACCCACGTAATTAAAATATAATTGTATTCGAAAAGAGTTTATTGATTTCGAGTCCAAGATCCTAGATTTATTCCTTAACAGTCAACCTAAATTCTTTAATATTAAATGTTGCCTAGCAAAATTCATTTAGGAAATGGCAAAAGTCGAAATTTTCCGTACTTTTCGACGGATTTGGGGCCCGTCTAAAGCGGAGTTGTTTTGGCAGGCATTATGGCATTAAGAATTTATACATGTGACGAAAAAGGGACCTGACAAATATTTAAAAATTCTCAAAAGAAGTGAAGCGATGTGATACAGGTGACAAATAATTTACATTTATCACGTGATTAACACCCGCTTTCCGGATTTGATAATAAGGTTTTACTTTTGACAGGGCTTTATTATGGTTTCAAGTTTCGACGATTTCATTAAAGTAATGGTCTGCATTCACAACGATAAAGTTGTGGATTGACTCCACATACGCTAATGATAAGACAGAAGAAAATATAAAGTTACCCTTTTTTCATCTCATAAAAGATATTTATTTTTATAAAACGCCAATTTTTATTGAAGGTAATTGTAATTAATTCATTTATTATATCAGATAGTTTTAACATATTTTCTTTGAGATCATATCCAATTTATCGAATACTTAAACTTGTTTTGTTTTAAATATAGATTGTGAAATCGTGTACATATTAACGTTAATTTCCCGTATCTACTTTTATTTCAGATTTTATAAATTGATAAAGAAAAATTATCGTTTTATAATCAAAATTTTATTTTATTGCAGACTATTTCAAGATCGAAAAGATTGATTAAATAATTACTAAATAAAATGTAACAATTTTTTTTTATAAAATAAATTTTTTCGCTTTCTGAAATTGCATCATGTCATTTTAAAAATAATCCGTTGAATAACATATTCATTTTATGCATTATTTTATGCACCCCCTGCATTGTTAATCGGAATTCAAATTCCTTTGACTTTTCCAAATTGAATCGTAATTCGTATAAAAATCTTGTAATGAAATTCTGTTCTACCACGTTGATTTTTCGCTAGACAAAATGGATTCTGAAGATTTGGAAAATAAACGAATGAAAGTTCTTGTAAATTCGACATTTTTAGGAATATTTTTTGTTGAAATTATATTTGGCATTTTTGGCATCTGTATATTACCAACGAGAGCAGATATTTTGCTTGTATTATTTTTCGTAATTTTTGTATCTGGGATATATACTGTAAGTAATCATTTTCAAATTTAATATTACTTTAACGATTTTTGATTTCAAAATAGATTGTCGAGAAAAAATCAATCTATTTGTTAGCATTTGTTGTGATCATTTAATACCATTCATGGTTTAAATTAACATTGCGATCGATGATATTTTAGACTATTCGTCGTTTTTAGATAAGTATCAAAACGTTAAAGAAACGAATTTTGAAGGACAAGGTAAATAACATTTTATATTTTATTTTGTCATTAATTTTCATTTTCATTTAATATTTATTTTTTTATCTTTTTCTCGTGGTTATCACTGTGAAGACTTTGTATTTCTTTATATTGCAGATAGAATCTATAGCATGTAATAAATTTAAATATTTAATTTAATATATGGTCATGAATTTTAATTTAATTTAATTTTTAATTTTTTTAAAAAAAAATCATGTAAAGTGAAAAAAAGCTATATGGTTGATAATTGTATTAAGAAATATGAAAATTCTACCGATTTAAAAGAGAAATTTATGAAAACATTTGTTAAACCTAAACTTGTTTGCTAGTATTGTAATTTTAGGTTTTATATTTATTTATTCCTATGGATAAGAAGGTGAGTTATCTACCTTCAAATTAGATAATAAATAATGTATTACTAATTTTAGAAACTGGGATGTTATTAAAATTTCTATACCAAAAGAACTACGACGTAAGAATTAGTTATTGTAAAATTAACCTTGATTATTCGAAAAAGTATTAAAAATCATTATTTAATATAGGACCTTACGAACATTACAAAATTTATATTGTCTTTTTATACATTTTATTACATTTTATTGTCACTTATAATGGTCTTCATGATCTTTATGCCTTTAATTCCTTTGTGCTTAACACCTATGATATAGATTATAATGTTCAAATAGCATTTGAGGCGTTGATAAGTTTTTTACCATTATTTATTTTAACATTCTGTTCAAAATATGTAAGTATATTAACATTGCAATATACATCATTTACAATTAATTAATTCTATTTGATAATTTAAATTTTAGATGAAATCAAAATGGCATATAAATTTGTTTTGTTTATTTCTCTATAGCTATAGGTTTTGGAATGTTTCTTCTTTTATTGTGCATGATTATTTTTAAAGTAATATGTACTATAAATTTTTTTAAAATTGATGAAAGTGGGAAAAGTCTTGAATATTACCGTAAGTACTTGATCAAATTTTATTGTAATTTTGAAATTTTTATTGTTATTAATTTACAAGTTATATAATTTTATTAGTCGAATTTGATCCTAAATTGACGGATGAATATGAGCATCATTCAAAATTAAATATTGTTGATTATGAAACGGATCCAAGAACGTGTTGTTGGGAATCCATTAAAAAATTTCCTAATTACCTTAAATAATGGTTTATAGATGATCAAAAACAAAGAACATCAAAAAAGAAATATCCAAAAGTGATTATAATATAAATAACTATAGAACAAGTTACATCCTTTGTCCTCTTTGGCTCGTATAACTTGATAAATGAATAATTTGGCTTCGTTAAATTTAATTACGTAGTTTAATAAATAAAGCACCGTATTATCATTTATTTGTTATGTGAAGATTTATATTTAATTGAATATATAAATAAAAAAAAACCCCCCACAAAAATGATTAAATTGAAAAAGAATAAAAAAAAAAAGGTTAAATCTAGAATTCATTTTTAAACCCATGACAACATATATTCCTTTTTTTTATCATTTTTCTTTTTACGTTTAGCAAATCTAATCATCTAAAAAATAATCTTTTAATAAGATTTCTAACATTTGAACTCTATCCTTTAAAGATTCAAAAGGAGAATTATTTTCCACAGGTGATTCTTTAAGTTTAATTTTCTCAACAAGTGGAAGGCCGACATATGTAACGTATAGGCGGTAATTTTTTTTTTGATCGGCAGGTAATAATATACTTGCCTGCGATAGCATTATAGAAACCTCCAAGATCAGCTATTAAATCGGTAGCTAAATTGAACAAAATATATTATTCGATTTGGGTTATAATAATATAATAGTATAGAATATAGTATAAACTTACATTTGTACGCTGATTCTTCAAATTTGAGAATAGTTGAAGGAAAATTAAATCCAATTTGAAGTTCATTAGGTTTTAAACGCTTAGGTATTTGTTCTAATCGTGGCATTAATTCTAATTTAACTGTATATGTAAATTTTACATTGTTTTCATAAGTATCAAATTTAATCATTGGTTTAAAAGTTATTAAAGAAGCTTGTCCTAGGTTAAGTAAAAAATAGTTTGAATTTAAAGTATTGCTATAAAATATGTCTTCTGTTGTATCAGTTAAATTTTCTAAATATTTTTTATATAAAGGTTTTTGGGTCATCATATTGTAATTTGATTGATTCAAAGCATAAAAATAACATGTAATCAGGAATATCACTAGGTATACTGAGTTTATAAGGATTTAAAGTATAATTTGAACCTTGTTGCGTATCATTATTGTTAGAAGGAGTGATAATGATATTAAACCAAATGGGTCGATTATACTCATAATTTTTTATATGAACAGTTTGACAGTGAAAAGTATAATTTGTAATTTCAATATCAGTCTCTAATGTCATTACATTCGAAATTCCAGTACATATGCTTATATTAAACTCATTGTCTATTTTCATTTTAAAAAATTTAATTTTAAACCTTTATAATAAATAATAATAAATAAACACATTTCATTTTCTTACCTTGAAGCTGAGTATACTTAAAACTAATAGGGTTTGTCAGTATAATAAAATCATAAAATTTATTTATTGAATAAACAATAACTTCGTGAAAACAATAGCAAAAAAACCTCGTATATATCTAAACCAAATTGGTTCTGTTGTTCGATATTCGCGAAGCGATTCTATCAAAAACATTGCATAATTTTTGCTTAGTTATAAAAGATTTTTTTCTTTACAAAGTTTCACACTCTTTTTATTTATATACATTCACAAGTAAATGGTAAAAATAAAAAGTGAAATTTTGTGTTGTGTAAAGATACGGAAAATAAGATCCGAGTTGAATGCAAACTCAAATAATAATTGCAAATGTATCGAAGGCTTTTTTTGAACCAAATCGTGTAACTGATAATTTTTTGGTTCTTTTTGATACGTAAAACACATTTATAGTTTAATTGATTTGTAAAATTAAATAAATTGATGAAATAATTTTAATTACAAATCTATGCCGGTAGTTAGAATTTTTATGTCAAATTATATGCTAGAACCAAATTTTTCCTGCAAATTGCGCCGACTAATAACAATTCTAATTCTAAATTATTATAACTAATTTGTGACTTTATCGATAGTTTTTAACCTAATTAGGTTGATGTGCAACCGGTCACAGTTTTTCAATAACTATACATTATTCAACTATAATGCTATATTTGTTTATTAAAATTTTTGATATAAGTTCTAAAGGAGTACATGCATGTGGCTCAGCAAAAATTTCTTTCAGTCACAAAAAGAGAGAACAATAGCCAGAAAAATTTTACCGATCGGTGTTTAATTTAGTAAGATATTTTGATTGACTAGGTAAAACTTGTTTGTTATATTAAAAAAAAGAAAATTTCAAAGTTTACACGGGTGTATCAATGATTACGTAACAGACAATGTTAAAAATTCACGTTTTATAATAATTATTCACGTCCGAAATGTGTGGCAGGTTACAAAATGTGATTAAGTCAAATTTTATTACTAAAACCTCATTTGCGTTGCAGAGTTCGTTGATCCGAAATCCCACGTGTTCGAAATAAAAAGTGTTATACTTTGTTAATCCGAAATTAATTAAACGATTGATATATTTTTAATGTTCAAAGCGTTACATTTATTTTGCCTCTGTTATTTTTCTCTTCGCTCTTCTAATGATAATTTCAATGATGATTACGAAAAAATTCCTGATGAGTCTTCTAATAACAACTACAAAAATATTCCTTATAACGATAATGACACTACGAAAATGAAAACTCTGATAGGCTGTGATACATTTTCTTTTTCCTTGTATCAATATTAGTATTTGGTTGAAATTTCGTCCTCTAATCACTCCAAAAATTATGTTTTTTTAATAAGGTTATGAGTAAGGTTGCAAATCGTCTAAATGGTAAAAGGTAAAATTAGCAAAATTATATTAAAATCTTATTAAAAAATCTGCCAAACTCAGGAAAAAGTAAAACTATATTAAAGCTTGTAAAAATGCGAAACTATATCAAAAACCTTAATAAAAAATTAGCAAAACTAAAGTTTAGACATTTTGCCAAATCTATAATGAGTTTAGACAAGCAACCTTGGTCATGAGCCAAATTAGGTTAATAGTGTTTCATACAATGAAAATAGCAATGTTGACGGTGATAACGAGCGTACAGTTTCTTTACCTCACTAGCTAGGATGAATTTAAAATTGGATTAATAGGTTTACATTAAAAGAGAGTTTCAACTATAAGATCAGAACAAGTGAAAAAATACAAGTGTAGTGCGAAGAGCTATTTACGAATGTAACACAAATCAGGATCACATATTCTGTAGGTGATTTCCGATCTAATAAAAAGCATAATGCTAGTTCTTTAAGAACATCATGTTCCTGGAAGCTAAAATGTCACTTTTCTGAAAACAAGTAATATTAAAAATCAACTCTTTTACATTATATTCTAATTATCATAATACTATTTTTTTTTACAAACTTTTGTCACATTTTCTCTTATAATATCACCTGATAATTATACAATATATTGCAACTTTGATTTTTTTTAACTAATGCAAAAGTTTATGCTTCTTTTATATTGTGTGATACATTACATATACATTCTCTAACTCTTTTATCTAAAATTTTAAATGATTTATTATGTAGAATTTCTTATTATTGATTTTCAAATATATTAAAAAGTATCAAAAATGGAATATTACTACTAGAAAAACTTATAATATTTTATTTTTTTTGTAAAAAAATATAACCAAATATTCTTATTTAACTATAGAATTAGATCAGTTTTTAATTTTTTAAAAAAAAAATATAATTTCTTCTATTATTTTTTAACATGTAAAAGCCAAATGGTTAACCATTTTATAGATCTTTCTAACCTTTCTTTTTTAATCATAAAATTTGTAAACACATTCAATATGATCAGCTTTTAATTCTCCTTTTATATCAAAATATTTTTAAATATTAAACTTTTTCTCTCTATCTTTTTATTATTTTTTTGTTATATCAAATATCTACCCTATAATAAATTACCAAAAATTGATCATCATAATGGCTTGGTTCTTAAAAAAATAAATTTATTCTTTTTTTAATAATAAATACTATTATTTAATTTTATATATAAAAAGAATGATTTTTTTTGTAAAATTTTTTTAACCAAAAGAATGTGAAAAAAATTTAATAAGCAAATAATGAAAATGATTTATCAGCACCTATTTTATTAATATTAATATTATTAAGTTTTAATATTCTTTCTATAACAGTATATGATACTATAGTCCAGTGCAAAAAGATTGATATATGAAGATTATTACCTGATTTTCTTATATTACACAAAACTTTATAAATTAATCATATGATTTTATAAATTGTAGATAAGATAAGGGTGATTTTAAACTTTAAAATAAAAAATTTAACTGCTTTTCCTTTTCAAATAGATGACTTAGAATGAGATCAAAGCTACCTGAATAGTAACGAAAAAAAAATAATCATTCATATCCATCAATACTTCTTTGATATTTGACAGAGTAAGAAGTAGCATCAAAACTTATCACTATGTAAAGAGATTACTACAGTCCTTAGAATTGAAAGGCAATTATTATGCAAGTAATTTTTGAATATAATAAAATAAAAATAATGAATAATTATTACAAAAAAATATATGAAAAACTAAAAAAGAACGTAATGATAATATTATTGAAGTTATATATATCTCTGTTATGTCTTCTAACCATTTTAGTTTGCTACTTTCAACAAATAAATTGTGATAGAAATTTGAAGAAAATGGCTATATACTTTTAAAATAGCAGTTACTTTATATACTTCACAAACTAGGATATTTTTTCAGCAGAGTAAACATTAAAATATATTGCATAAATCTTCTCAAAATGTTGCATTTCATGATCATTATTTATGGCATCATTTTAAAAATTTGTAAGGGTAAAATAATGTTTCTTTTAGACTAAAAATATTCTTAGATAAATCATATTGCAACTTACATCATATTACAGATCGTATTTGAGTATCAAGATATAGGTTATATATTTATCTGAATATAGATCTCAAATTGTTATTTTAGTGTGATAATCATAATGCGTAATAGTAATTCTAATAAACTTTTTGATGAAATTATTTCTAATTCTCTTTTGTTATAAAATCTCTTAATTAAATCACCTTCATCAAGAGAAAGAAAATGGACTAATGCTGATGCCTGAAATCATATTTCTGATGTCATTTGAAATTTTAATATTGTAGCTAATCAATTTAATTATTATAACAATTTTATAGCTAAAATATTTAAAAACTTATTTGATAAATTTTATGCCAATATTAAAAAACACTATGAGCTAGTTGATATTCATATAAATGATATTAAATATTACAAATGCTGAGTTGAATAAAAGCTAACATCAAACTCAAAAAAGAATATAATAACTGAGTAGTTATTATCAAATAGCATTAAAATTTCAGAAAACTTTAACAAAGCAGAACTTTATAAATTAATAAAATTATACAAAAATAAAGCTTTTTTTATATGCATTTAAATAGTTGCAAAATATAACTATAAATTATTTTTTACTCTGCTTTATTATTGTAAATATCAACTAATAGAAGGAGTTTGATCAACTGTAAAAGGTAAAATTGCTAAAACTGATCCTATTCTAATCTTTTAGCTATTAGAGATAAATTATTACATGTTTTTAAAGAAAAAGTTACTTCTAAAATTATTATTAGATTTTGGAAAAAGGGTACTTAATAAGACTAAATAATATAAGAATTTAAATGATGATATATTATTAGCTGATAGTGATAATAAAAATTTCAAGATTGACGAAATTGATAATTTATAAAATTTTTTGTATTAAACTTAAAACTATAATAAAACTTATATTAAATTATACCTTAAAACCTAAATTATAAATAAAATTATTTAATAATTTACATTAAATTTAAAAAAAAGTTTTATTATAAACATATTGATGTATTAATTTTTTTACATTAGACTATATTAATTATTATAAAGAAACTGGTTTTTTACACTCTAATAAATATTCTGGATAACCAAAAATTTTATCAAATTATAATAAATATTATTATTAAGATTATTTATAAAAATAAATTTACTTTTCTTGGTAAAATTACTAATCAACTAAATAACAATTTTTCTACCAATTTTTATAAAAATATATTTATATAAAATAAAGTTTAAAATTTGTACTTTAAGAAAAAGATCTATTTTAATTAAAAAACATCAAATTATTAATATAAAAAAATATATAATTAGCAAAAGGAATAGAGAGATATTATATAATCAGATGAATTCAAATTTACTCTTTTTAAATTAATTATGCAAGAGTATAATATGTATAAGACTGAAAAGAATTATAATAAAAATTACATTTAACTCACATTAAAATTTGGTGATGATTAGGTTGCTTGTCTAAATTTATTTTAGATTTAGCAAAATGTTTAAACTATAGTTTTGCTAAATTTTTACTAAGATTTTGATATAGTTTTACATTTTTATAAGCTTTGATATAGTTTTACCTTTTTCAGAATTTTGTAGGTTTTTTAATAAGATTTTAATATAATTTTGCTAAATTTTACCTTTTTTCATTTGAACAACTTGCAAAACTTATAGATTTAGTTTAGCAACTTTTGTGATAATTCAGTTATATTTTAGGATATTTCTCATGATATAATATTAGTTTTTTAGTTATAATAAAAAATTTTAAATTTAAAAAAATATGTAAATATTTTTTTAAATAATTTTATTTTTTAAGTTTATAATTATTTAAATTTTAATATTTCAATAGAATAGTATATCTTGTTATACTTCTTCTTATACTAGTATTATCATAACTAGACAATAAATAATAGATAACATTAGATAAAAAATGCTGTCTATTGTTCATTGATTAAGCAATAGATATATAATTTCAGTGTCTATTGTTATCCATTGTATTTACTTAAATTTATAAAATTAAAATTTATTAAAAAACACTAATTTTATTTATTTAAATTTATCAAAAAAAATTGAATTATATATAATATTATTCTTTAAATGAAATATCTAAATTAGAAACAAACAAATTTTCTAATTTCCATTTGCCTTTGAATCTTCTGGTAAAATTTCATCATCATCATCTGAACTTTCACTTTCAACTTTTTTAACATTAATCTCTTCTTCTAAATTTTTATTATTTAATAAATTAGCCTATTCTTTAATTACTTTTAACTATTGTATTTCATTTAATATTGATAAATCATCATCACTATCATTAAGTATTTCTTCATTAATTTCTAATTCATCATTAAGAGTTAAAGTATCTTTATCACATATATCTATAAATGATTCTCTTTATTTCTTTGTAATAATTTTAGATTTATATTCTTTAATAATTTCAGTTTGTAACTGGCTCATTACTAAAACTTTTTATATTAAATAAAATAGAAATAAATAAAAAAATATAAATTACTTATAAAATATAATATACTATAATTAATTTAACTTACTTGTAATCAATTGCATCTCTTAGAATATAAAAATCTCATTATAGAAAATAATCTTTCACAGGATGCAGTATTAATACATATTTTAAATAAATAACTAGAAATTATATCTAACTTTAAAGCTATATTAGAAATACTTTTTCACTATTCTACAATAATATTAAATTGTTTAAATGTTTTATTACAAAATGGATATTATTGTTTTTTAAATTTTTCAAGTTATTGAAAAATAGTTATTGAATCTTTTTTAAACCAAGATTTGTAATAATATGTTATCCAATGACCAATATATGAATATGTTAAGTTTTTAATAATAGATGAAAACATTCCTAATCATTATTTTGGATGAAGAGCTAAAGAAAGTATTAATAATAATTATTTCCAGTCAGCCTAATGTAATTTAAGACGTTTAATCATTCGATTATGAAAAAAATTAGTGTTTATTATTTCATTATATTCATAATATAATTAAAAGAGAATATTACTTGATAAAGATGTGTCTTATCTTATTGTATAATATTTAAAATTTCACAATAAGGATATAAAAGAGTTGTATGTTTTTTTAAATTTGTTTAAAAAGCAATATTATTAATAAAAGTAGAAATATCAGATGATAAATGAAATTCTTCTTCATTAACATGAAAATTAAATATTACTAATGTCTAAAAAATATTTATAAATTAATAAATTATTTTAAAAATAAAAAATATTAATAAATAAATAATAACCTACAATAAGTGTATCTTTTAACTTTAAAAGAGAATTAAAAGCATTAAAATAACTATTCCAATGTGTTGACCATGGGCTTATAAGAGTAATAAATTTTTTATTAAACTTTAATTATTCATTATGAAACTTTTAAGTAAAATAAACTGATGAATGAAAAAACTAATAAATTAGATGACGTGATTAGAAGTAGTTTTAAATATTTAAGATTCTTTAAAAATTTCTCCAATACAACAATTAGCTTGATGTATAAAATATGGTAAAAATACTATTTTGTGATGAATAAGTTTTATTTAATGCTTATTAATAAATAATATTTAATTAAAATTATAAAAAAAATTAAATTTGTTTTAATAAAAATTTATAAAATACCTAGCAGATACATAACCTCTAGCAGAATCTGTCACTAATGCATTTATTTGAATATTTTATGATATTGCTTTTTAATAAGTAATTTTATTTATTTAATTACTTCTTTTGTGCGTTGATGTTCTTTACTTATATTTTTTGTATCCTATATAAGAACAGAACTATTTGAAGTAATAAAAATAACACCTATAATCTCTTATTCTACTATATTTTTCTAACCATCAAAAATTATAGTTATTCCAATTTTATCATTTGAAGCAAGACTTTGAAAGTTTAATTAAATATCATTAGTTGTTACATTTAAAATTTGAGTATAATGATTAAGTAATACTAAAAGAGATAAAATAAATTAAAAAGATCTTGGGTTTCATAATTATTAATTCAATGAAAAGAAAATCTATTAAATACAATCATACGAATTAATTTTTTTTAAACATTAGAATTTCTGTTATAGTTAATAGTTTTCTAATATATTGTGTAATTTGGGTTTAGTTATATTATAATTTTTAGCTAATGATATAATTTTTTCATTTAGAATATAGATGCCTGCCAAAACCTTCTCAAAATAATTTCGTCATACCCTTTTCTATGTTTTTAATATAGTTTCGACAGTTTCGGCTTTCGTCGTA